CAATGAGCCACAGCCTCCCGGCGCCAGGACCGGCCCAGACAGCAGTGCCACTCGCAGAGAGGCCGGGCGGCACCGTGGACGGGTCTGCGGTGGGACCCGTCACACGCCATGACTCACCCTCTTGGAGGAGATGGTCATCGTCTTGATGGGTGCCGGCACCTAGATGGGAGCGGGAGCGAAGGAGGTGGAGGGGCGACCGCCTGGCCTGATGCTGCAGCCCTGGGGTGGGCACCTCAGAGCCCCACAGACAGCTGAGGCAGGCCAGGGCGGGCAGGGGGAGATATGAGGGGGCCGCAGGCAGGAGGACTAATGATTGGGGTCCCTCCAAAGCTGGCCAAGGGGTGGCTGGTCTCCCAATGGACTGGCTGATATCCCAAAGGGCTGGTTGATGTCCCAGGGGTATGGTTGGTGTCCCAAGGGGCTGGTTGGCGGGGTTGAGGACACTCAGCGGAAGGTGGGGGACAGGCTAGACCTTACCTTGAACACCTCAATCTCCTCCAGCATGAGCTCCTCCGTCTCCGTGTCATCCCGGGGGAGCACGATAACCTTCTGCACGGTGCCCCTATCTGCAAGACATCATGGTGCCCAGGTGCTCAGTGCCACCCCTGGGCACCTGCACCCTCCCCTGCTGGGAAGGGGCCCCCTGCTGGGCTGGGGGGATGAAGGATCCCCTCAAGCCCACCCCCATCTCTCTCCTGCCACAGCAGGCAGCTGTGCCTGGGTTGTGGCATGGTGGTTCAGGTCACTGCCTGTGGCTAGGGGCTGCCACCATCCAGGGCAGGGTGAGGACAGCAGCCAGGGACAAGCACCAGGCCAGAGGAAGGACTAGGATGGACCACAGGGGCTTTGGGATGTGTGTCAGAACAGAGGAAGCACCATGCTGGATGATGGTGACACCAGGATGGGCACTGGGGCTGGGGAAGGACATGCCTGAGTGCTGGTACCTCGAGGATGGGCAATCAAGTGGTGGAGGCACAAAGCTGAATGATTGTGGGCTTACGGTGGACAATGGGAAGCACATGAGATGGGCACTGTGGTTGAGAAAGCATGAGGCTGGATGGTGGGGCCCCTGGGATGGACACCAGGGCAGGGGGAGGACCAGGCTGGATGATGGCATCCCTAGGATGGTAAGCATCATGCTGGATCGCTAGCTCCAGGGCTGGGAACTGGGCCACAGGAAGGACCTGGCTGGATGTTGGGGCCCGTGGGGTGGGTGCTGAGGCAGGGGAAGAACCAAGCTGGAGCCACGAGGAGGGGCGAGGCTCTCGGGGGGGGGTGTGTGTCTCAGCCCATCACCCCATCCAGCGTGGCAGAGGGCACCGTGCTCTGGCCAGCCCTGGTGGTGCCCGTGCCCTCCGGGGCCGCGCCGGAGCATGCTGCATTCCCCGCGGTGCGCGGCGTGGGTACCTGTGCCCAGGAAAAGCACCTCATAGCGCCCGTCTGCCGCGTCCACCTGGTCCACGGCCACGGTGGTGAAGCGGTAGTTGACGTTGGTGCGGACCACCAGTGGGCGGCGGTGGGTGGGGTAGACGGCGTGGTACATCAGGGGGTGCGCACGCATGAAGTTGATCACTTCATCCGGGTAGTCCTTGGTCGACTTCATGGACGGGGTGAAGGTCCCCCCGGGGCACTACGGCACAAGCGTCACCAGTGCTCGGTGACCTGGAAGCTAGGCACGGGTCTAGGGGTGCAGACTGCCGGGCAGGCGCCGGCTCACCTCCCCACGTGTGCCTGGGGGGTACTTACAGTGCCCGGACGGGGGTACGGCATTTTGCCCGTGTAGGGCATCCACTGGTAGTTGGGTCCCTCCTTGTGTGCGAAGGGCCCGTTGAAGACCATGCGGA